AATAAATATTTCAATGACAGAGCAATCTTAGCACCGATGATTGAAATGATGAATCACATCAATGATTACATGTGCTCTTTATTACCAGGAAAATATTTTGAATTCCTTAGTTGTGACAATGTTTATAAATCATGCGATGACAATGGCATAATAAATAACTAGTACACAACAGAATTCGTAAACACTATCAATTCTTCAAGTATGCCACCACACAACTTGCACTTGAAGATAGGAGCACCAATTATGCTTCTAAGAAACATTGATCAAGCTTTTAGATTATGCAACAGAACATGTCTCTCCATGTCGCAGCTCGGAAAAACTGTTATTCAAGCTGTAACATTGAATGGATCAAAACCAAACCAAAAGGTGCTAATTCATTGTATGGACATGAATCCTTCTGAAAGTCATTAGCCATTCAAAATGCAAAGGAGACAATTCCTAATAACATTATCATTTGCTATGACTATCAATAAAAGTTAGGGGCAATCATTATAGCATGTTGGGCTATATCTACCAAAGCCTGTTTTCACACATGGTCAATTGTATGTTGCATTATCGAGGGTCAAAAGCATGGATGTTTTGAAAATTGTTGTTGATAACAAGAATGGTTTGAGTAAGATATCAACTACAAATTTTGTTTATAAGGAAGTTTTTAGGAATGTGGATGGCACTAGTTCATAGGATTGAAATCCTACGTGTAACACTTCTATTAGTATATCTTTGTAAACTGAATTATAAGCGTATTTTATTTTTCAATCTGAGTAAGTACAAGTTGTAGTTCAAATGCTATATTATGTAAGAATGTAATAATATCCTTGTATGTAATGCTTTCTGTGCAATGCATGGGGAGTAAACGCTAGTTTTATATACAAGAGAAATAAAATTACTTACATGTTATATTTAGCTACATGAAATTTTCAAGGTATAAGTCAATGAAAAAAAACCAAATTGGACTGACCGGTTCAACTAAAAAACAGTTGAACCGGTCTCTAGTCCGGTCTGGTTTGAAGAATAAACCGGCTTCAAATCAAACTGAAAAAAACCCATGGGTTGGATGGGTCACCATTTTTTTCCTTCCTTTCTTCTTTTTTACTCTTACCATCTCATCTCTCACCAAAGGAGACATTAACACAGTTGAGACAAGTGGTAGAAGAAGAAGAAATCACAGAAAGAAATACCTATTTGGAAGACTCTTGTGTGTGCTTCGAACCCATGCTGTGGAAGAGTGGAAGGCAAGGAAGATAAGTAATAGAGTAATCGGTAGAACAGATGTGCAAAGAGAAAAAGAGATCACTATTTATCGTTTCTGTTTGAGAAAGAAAGAGAAATGTAGAAGGCTGTTTGGGAAAGAAAGAGAAATGAAGAGGGTTAGAGGGAGGATCGAATTTCAAAATTTGAATGAGAAAGAGAACAATGCAAAAGTAATCTTCCATTCAATGAGGAGAAAGGAAGAAAAAAGTGGCCTTGTGATATGTGCTATGACATTCACATGAGGGAGAGAAAGAAGGAAGAGATAAAAATATAAAATAATAAGGAAAAAAGATGTATTGGGCCATGTGAAGAAAAAGAGAAAGAAAAGGGAAAAAAAATAAAAATAAGAAAAAATTATATACATAAATATTTTGTAATGAAATTATATTATTTTAATTATTACTAGTCTAACCCGGTCTAACCTCGATATAACCCATTAACCCTTGACCCACTATCTCAATAGGTTTAGTGTCCGGTTCGGTGTTTTGTTCCTTGGTATAAGTAACCCAAACATTTTAATCAAAATTTTATTCAACTTAGTTCCTCACATGATTTAAGAGAAACATGGAAGAAAGAGAGAGGAAAAATAAAATTTGGAATTGCTTTCCAAATAGCAAGCTAGAAGAAAATCAAAGACGATCATGTAGGAAAACATTAGCAGTAAGAACAAAACTGCCCCCTTACTACATGTACACTCGCTAGGATCAATCATAGAGATCCCTTTCTAACCACTCTATAACCCAAGACCAGTTGAAGCGTTTACACAAGTATCACTTATAAGCAATATTCTTGTATACATATTATCGAGAATTTATAAAAACCAAAATTTCTCTCCCTACTTTTCTTTATACGTTGAAGAGCACCTAAAATCCTAAGTTCTACCTTAAAATTAATTTTGCAAATCTATAATAAGAATATAAAGTTGTTTCTTTTAAATTGGCTAAGTGCAAATATTATCTCATGAAAGATTTTAGGTATAGAAATTTAGAGAGCTAGTTAAGAAAACCTTGAGAAGTAATGGGTTTAATAAATAGTTTGGGCTAGGATGAGCCAACATGTGGTAATTGTCATAGTAAGGTTGTACTTGGCTAAAGAGAAGTAAAGAAAAGAAAAAGCATAATTAAATGGAGAAGATTAGAAAGTGCACTTATTTTGAGTATTTGTGAAAAGCAATTGAAAGAAAGAGACAAAATTCCTTTACCTAATATGTTGGTGTAACACAATGAATGGCAGTGCAACGTGGCCCACAAAGGATAATAGAAATAGATGCAAGGGAAATTTTATGTATGAGAGAGAGAGCAGTATGCGTGGTGGAAAATAAATCGAAAGGTCAAAGAAGAAAAGAGCAGTGCAGCAACATGAATGAGAAAAGTAAGGAGCAATGGATGGAGAATAGGGTTATGAAGAATATATTTAATTATTATTATTTTTTAATTATTACTGTTGCAAACTTGAAATTCAAATAAGATTTTTTTAAAAAAATAGATATATCTTGATATGAAGGGATTTTCTATGATTTATTTATCCTCTAATAAGATGAGATTTTTTTTAAAATTAACTAAATATCTACTAATATTATAAAATTTGCTAATATATACTAACTGCCTTATGATAATTGAAGAATTTAATATCTACTAATTGTTATTTTAAATTTCACCATAACTAATACCAACATTTTTTCCTTGTTTATTTTTGAATTAAAACTTTGTTTACCACTTTTAAGGTATTTTTATTAAAATTCTGTAAATAGTAAAAATAATTACTTAAATACTACACTTTATGAACTATTTATCAATATGCTACATTTTTGAGAAATCATTCAAGTCGTGATGAACTTCCACTCTAACATCTATATTTTTAAAATAAAAAGGAGAAACTTTTCACCCTCTATTTGTCTCCATCTACTTTATAAATTTTAGAAAAAATTACAGTTAGTTACCCTTACCCCTTCCCATTTTCTCAGTACTATGTATCTATCTCTTTCTAATTGAAAACATGAGTAGATTTTGTAGAAAAATTATTTTTTTATCTTGATACTTAAATTTAGAAAAAATATTTAAATAAACATAAAATATTTATATATCTTTTTTAATATATTCAAACTCAAAATTTATACCTATTTAATTATAAAATATACACTTGTCAATTTTTATCTTTATCATAATTACTCATAATATTTAAATCAAGGATATTAGTGAGGAAAATATACTTAATAGGTTTCCTACATTTATGAAATATGTTATAAATAAAAATATTAAAATTTTAAATGCACAAAATTACTTAAAATAGTTTGATAAACAAACATGAAAAACTATGAACTTCTTAAGTGACATTTCTTAATTTTAATTTCTTAATTATTATTTTAGTTACATAAAAATAAAATTTACTTCTCTTATTTTTCATTCAGCTATTCAAAGGCATGTAAGCTTAACACAAACCAAGCTAACATAGTCTAATATCCAAAGTTCCAGTTCAAGTAAGGTTACTCATTCTCAATTCATCAACAAGCCATATTAAGACTCTCATCTTTGAATACTAGAACTAAGAAAACTCAAAAAGTTGTCACTAAACTCGTCTTAATGGATCGTGGTTAAATTCTTTTTATGATGCATATGATCATCTTATAGAGGCAAATGCAGAGCATACTCAGAATCTCTAAGGACAGAAGAAACGTATTGTAAGTAAGGATTTCATAAGGAGAGAGAACTTTTAGAGAGAATTCACGAGAAAAGCACATTGATATTATATATGAGAGTTATTACAACTCCTTCTGTCCTTTATTATCGGCAGAGATTGGTTTATGTATAAGCTGACATTACTACATGACAAACAAACTAGAATAATTGTACAAACATAAAAGCAAAGATTCAAAACACACATGACACAAAGGCAAAGATGTTTTTAATTATTACAATAGGATAAACACACTTTTAATAAAGACAAACTTAAAGTAGAGTCATGACATAAAGTAGATTCCTTGGGGATTATCCTTATCGTAAACTTTTGCACATAGGCTCATGGCTAGGAGACAGATTCATGACATCTTCTGGATTTGAGTTGTCTGTATCAGAGTCATGGATAAAAACTACTATTACTACTACTACTACTATTATTATTACTACTACTATTGGAACGATTTTGAATATACTAAAAAAGACCTAAAAATATTTTATATTTATTTAAATATTTTTTTTCTAAATTTAAGGATCAAGATAAAGAGCAATTCTTCTACAAAATCTAATCATATGTTTTCATTTAAAAAGAGATACAAAGTAAAGGAAAAAGGGAAGGGATGGGGATAATTAACTGTAATTGTCTCTAAAATTCAAAAGGCAGAGAGCGACAAGGGTGTATCCGGTGAACTGGGGCATTTAGTTGTAATTGCCAAAAATAAAAGAAAATTATCACACTGAAAGTTTATTGACGAGTTTCTCTTTTTTATTTTAAAAATATACATGTCAGAGTGAAAATTCATCACAGCCTGAATGATTTCTCAAAAATGCAGCATAGTAGTAAATAGTTCCCATAATATAGTATTTAAATAATTATTTTTATTGCTTATAGTATTTTGATAAAAATGTACCACTTTAGCATGAGCTATCCCAACCAATAAGTGCTTGTGGTTAACGCACAATAATGTGTTTTTTTTTTTAATTTTTTATTGTGAGTTGACGAAGCCGCACTGACTCTTCAAAATCATTTGCAGAGAAACGCCCAAAAGCTAAACTCACCATCACGGGTTTCCAAGCTATTTTCCGAACCACACAAGGTCCTGAGGGGATAGCGAGTTAGCCGCAAGCCGGATAGAAGAGGAATTTTCAGTGGGGGTGCCGAACACACAGACAGGAGACAGCAATGAATATGATCCATATGGGCACTGGTTGTATGAATCCAAGTAGAATTCGACCTCCACTTTCGGTGAAGTCCATTACACCACCATTGTGGGCACGAAGAACGAATTTGGGATCAAGATTCCGAAGTTTGAAGTGCAGAAGCGGATCGGAAGAGGAAATTAGTAACAATGGTAGTGACTTCAATTTCAAGGATGCAGTGTCGGGCATGGTGGATCAGCAAGTGCAGGAGCTTTTGAGCAGGAAGGAAAATAGGGTTTTGCTTGATGGGTTAGAGAAGGCGTCGCTGAGGGTTGAGATGGCCAAGAAAGAACTCGCGTTGATTGAAGAACAAGAGCGTGCCGCCAAGCAGTTCAGGGGCTACATCAATCAGCTTGAGGGCAAAGCCATGGAGGTATATGGTTTGGTTTGTTAGCTTCGATTTTCTGTAAAATGCTCTTTTTTGGTTACAGTATTAGACTTCTCAATTTGGTCCTCTGGTTCAAGAAGTTGGACTTGATTCGTATATAGGCATTGGTTAGCCTTTCTAAACCATGATCATGATTAGCAGGCCATTTCACCGCTTCATTTACCTTCTCTGTGTATTTTTTAGCTGTCATTGTCCAATTCGTACCCGAAAGCTGTTGGGTCTGAACAATTAGGTGGCAAGGATGATTACGAGAGCACCCTTCATTGTTGAATTGGACTACTACCATAGAATTAAGCTCTATCTAGATGCCTATACGGCCATTGGTTACCCAATCAAGCAAATTCCAAACTGGTAAAAATCCCCATAGGACAGCAAGAAGGACACATCCTGCTCGCGTATTCCCGGTAACATCTGAAATCAAGGAATTAGGAGTGCTGTAAAACTCTACTACAGCAAACCAGAGTACCCAGAAAACGACTATAATCATCTGCTTTAAAACTTCAATATTCTCTAGCTGATGGATTCTGTAACCCACAAGACATTTCTTCTGACAATTCTTGGTGACATTTAAGTTCTTATCTTGTTCCTCAAGCCGCTTGACAGGAGTAAGAATGGACTGCAAAAACTTTTAACCGCATCCATCTCTGTGCTATCAGAAGGAATCTCATCTCTCTTAAGCCAACCTTTCCAAATTATGACCCCAAAAGTGGTATTTTTGTTGTACTTTCTACTTTTACGTGCCTTACACTTTCTGGAGTGGAAATTCCTGAAGGATACTTTCTAGGGAAAAGAAAAAGAAGCATGGCCACATGTGTGTCTTACCATAATGCAAACCTACAATGAAAGATAAGGGTAGGATCTGGGTTGACAAAGTGGAAACACAAGCACCCAACCTGTAAATTCAATCATGATAATAAATGTTTGTGCCATTAATGTATTAGCACATAGCATAGATATATATAAACAAACTTAACAAAGTTTTTGAGAACATTATTTTATAGATTGCGTCTTGGGTTTCTCATTTCCTGAAAGAGAAGGAACAAGACAGTTGTAAGCTAAAGAGCCAGGTCTCCCTGTGAAACCAAGAAATTTATGTTGCTCTATTGATAGACATCATATAAAAAGACAAGTCAAATTTGCCTTTACCCTATATCTACGATATACTAAATACTATTCATATCGGTAGATTATTATCTTTCTGAACCCCAAGGACCTTTTGACTAGAAATCTTGTATGGGTTATCATGTGTCATAGAAGAATTTTCTTTCAATTCCTTATTTGCATTTGAATCATTACTGATGAAAATCGATTGAAGGCAAGATTGCAGAGTGTCAACGAGAAATATCAGAGGCAAAAGTATTGATTGAGGAAGCAGAACGCTCTCTATCACTAAATGAGGATGGACTTGAAGATGGGAATGCAGCCATGGGAAGCAAAACTGAGGAAATTGACAGGGATAAAGAGAGGTTGGAATCAGTGAAGGCTGCATCTATTTCTGCCCTTATAGGTTCCATTGCAGGGCTCCCTTTATGCTTGACTCAGGCCTCCGACTTTACTCAACTGATACTCCCTTTGGCAATTAATTTCATTAGCTGTGCATTGTTTGGAGTGACCTTTCGATACACCGTAAGGCGAAATTTGGATGATGTTCAGCTTAAGACAGGGACAGCAGCAGCTTTCAGTGTCGTTAAAGGTACTCACCACATTGACCACATTTACATGTTAAACACTTTCAAATTTGGCTTTTGTTAACGTCTATTTGGGGAAATATGGATATCTCTTGCGCACTTTGCAAAGACTACCCTTAGTCATCATTATCTAGGATTCAAACCTTTGTTGTGCATGTCACATATATAATGGAAATTGGCTTTTATTCTTGTCAATGTAGGAAAAATACAGGTACCTCCTGAGCTATTGGTAAACACCACCCTTAACTATCATTTTGTAAAATTTAAACCTTTGATCCATTTTTCTTCATTCATCCGGTTTCCCCAAACTGTCATTTGTGGTTTCTAGACAAATAGGAGTGTGCCTCATGAAAAACAGAGGGGATTTGTATTCCCCTGTTGATTGAAATCAATTTAACTTCAGACATGCGTAATTTTCTCCCTTCTTCAATGACTAAAAGGTGGATGTTTTATCAAAGCAATGCAATCTGATTATTAGAATTAATGTTGGAATGAATTTGTGATGCAGGTCTTGCAACCCTGGGAGGAGGACCACTTCTTGAACTGAACTATGAAAGCTTCTTATCACATGCCCTAAATGGCACAATCTATGTGTTTGAGAATCTTCTTATTTTTGTTTTTGCTGCAGTTGGCCTGGACTACTGTTTCAAGACAAGGCTTTTGGGCCCATTTCCTGTAAATAGACCAAGTGAGAATTCAAAGTGAATGCAGCATTTATTTCAGTTGGCATGTCGACAATTTACATTTATTGGTCACTATGTTGCCATTTTCGAGCTCACCACTTGTAAATGCGAGAAATCTTAGAAAATACTCTTCTGGTTTTATTTATAAGGTATTTCTAGCATATTTAACACAAACCAAGAAAAACTTTAAAATACATTAACTTTCTATTAAAATATAACAATTTTCCAATTTTACTCATCTTTAATATATACACTTTTTAAAAGAAATAACTACCTACACTATAATAAATAAAGGATATAATAGTATATTCACATTGAAAATTTAATGAAGTGACTTATAAATAAACTAAAAAAAAAATCTCTTTGCGTCTTATAAATAAGACCAGAGGAGTAATATTGAGTATTGAATTATTTCATGCTTATAAGCTGTGATATACATCTATATGGTTGGCGGAAAAAAAAACAGAGAAAAGAGGCTTATAAACTGTGATATATGTCTATATGGTTGGAGGAAAAAAAACCAAAGAAAGAATTTTTTTTTTTTTTTTTGCAACAAGAGAAAGGGCTAGGCCCAACTAAAAACTAGAATTAATCAAAAGGGGATTCAAATCCCATACTCTCTGCAGCTACAAGGTTACTAAGCCACCGCGGACAAGAACTCAATAGAGAAGAATTATTGAGACCTTCCTTTGCAAGAGCGTCTGCCACTTGATTTTGTTCCCTGGGAATGTGCTGAATCTCCACTTGCCAATGAAACATCAAAAGGTCGTGTATTTGCATTAGGAGGATGCTGTATAGTGAGTTGACTTCCTTCTTTCTTAACAATTGTACCAGTTGTTGAGCATCATATTCCAACTTCACTCTTCTAAATCCCATGTCCCACGCCAATTGTAATCCTTTAAAGACAGCCCACTGTTCTGCCTCTCCAGCATCACAGGATCCTATAAAATGAGAGAATCCAGCTATCCAGTTGCCCCTATAGTCCCTTAAGACTCCTCCACATCCAGCTTTATGAGTAGATGAAGAAGCTGCCCCATCAACATTCAACTTAATCCATCCTTCAGGAAGGGGTTGCCACACTAGCGAGGAGTAAGAATCCTGGTACAATACCTCAGTATCTTGCATGAAACTTTTCCAGCAGTGCATAATGATGGTAGCTGGCTCCTTAGGTCAAGTAAATTATGGATTGAAGAGAGCTTCATTTCGCCATTTCCAAATCTTCCAAATGGTGACTCCCCAAACTAAGTCCCAAAAGCCATCCATATTAGAACTCAGATCACTTTTGAGATTTAGGGCAAACCATTCTTGTAGAGAGGACCCAAAGAAAGAATGGTAGTATCGGGGGTTCAAAATCTGCTTCCATAGATCACTAGCAAATTGACAGTCACGTAAAATGTGGAGAGTGTCTTCTGTTGTCTGGTTGCAAAAATCACATATTGGGGGGGGGGTAGCAGACCACATACTCCTCCAAGCTTTGGTTGGTAGTCTATTATGGAACGCAATCCACATGAACACTTTAATTCTTTCAATGCCTTTCCATTTCCATATGGCTCTGTAGACCTTCTGAAAGGTTGATTCTTTGCCTTGTTCAAGCAAGTAGTAAGCACTTTTAATGGAAAAGGTCCCGTTTGTCGTTGCTCCCCAAGTTAGGGAGTCCTCCCCCGCTGCCAACATTGGAGGTAATTTAGCAATCAGACTCTACAAGATATTAGCAGGAACTAATGTTGCTAATCTCGTAAAATCCCAAGTCCCATAGGCAACCCAATCTGCTACTTTGCTTTCTTCTTCTTCTGTGGTAAGAGGTCTAAGGCAGAAATCTTTAATAATATTATCAGCTAGTAACCATTTATCGGTGAAGAAGTGAACAGATTTCCCATTTCTCACATTCCATTTCGAGCCCATGTCAATAAGATGCTGTTGCTGGGAGATAAATCTCCAAAGAGGTGAATCCCCGTTTCTGACCTCCAGCAAATTATTCTCATTCCTCACCATGTATCTATGCAAGAGAACATCAGTCTATAAGCCTTGCTCACCAGAAATGAGTGTCCAAGCTAATTTTGCACCAAAGGCATCATTCAAACTTGAAAGTCTTTTAAATCCCAAACCTCCTTGAAGTTTTGGCCGAATGATTTGCTCCCAACCAATAGGGTGGAACCCATGGGTTTTATTAGAACTACCCCATATAAACTTCCTTTGAAGTCTCTCGACTACATGAATTAAAACTTTGGCCTTTTGTCACTACTTTGGAGCTGATCTACAATTCTTCTGATAAAAAACTTGGGCCGTATTTTCGGCTTTCGTATTCCTTTCTTTATATATTGCCGTAGACAGTGAGCCTTTTATGGGTTTTGGGTAACTGCGTATTGCGTGATGATAATTTAGAAGCATCGGTACCCATGGTAAATTGGATAATATGAACTAAATTCAGCTAAAGTGAAAAGAGAAAAACCCGCAAAAATAGACTCATTTTTCTAACCTCTTCTTTTCTTCTCGTTTCATTTTCATTTCGATAGCAAGAAAAATGTTGAGGCATAGGATTTCACTCCTACCTTGGAGGCCCAAAATTTTAAATAATTCAATTTTAAATAGAGAGAATCCCGATAAGGGTTGAATGTGAGGGTGAAAAGGAGAGTTGGTTTATTATTCCTGGAGCGAGTACCATAGAGTATCATACTATATGAGGCATTGTCTTTGTTGGTAAAAGAACGACTTCTCCCATTAAGGTAATTCTTTATAGGAAAAAATAAATCCAATACTCTAATTTTATTTTTTAGAGATATCTGATATTCTAATTTTATTCTAACATCCTGATCTTATTTTCTCAGTGCATTGGCTTTTATCACGTATTTATGGCGCATCCAGCACCTCATATTATGCTCTTTTTTTTTTTTTTTGGTTTCATCTGGCACTCTAATTTTTAAAATGCTAGATTCATTATAAGTAAGATTACGATGCTAGATGCACAAAAAAATGTCAGTGTCTTAGATGCACCATAAATAAGATCAGAGTGTTAGATGCACTAAAGAAATAAGATTAGAATGCTAAATGCGCTTTTACACTTCTTCATATATCAAACTAAAAGCAAAATCAATTAAAAATGGTAGAAGTGATTCAATTAGTGATATTTTTAAGTAAAATTTAGCATGTACTTTTTTAAATAGAAAGTGTATATCAATTAATCACAAAAAGAAAAAATAAGGGTACAAATAGAAGGAGGCTTCCTTCATCAACATCCGTGTCACATTGAGAAAAATGAAATGTGATCAAAGATGTGATAAATTCCTTGCATACTACATAGGATTTAACATGTTAAATTTTTAAAAAAAATACATGTTAAATTTAACATGTATTCATAAGACCTAATTTTTGCATGCCTATGCCTTATGAGTACTTAACAAGAAAAGTGAAAATGACATTTGGAGAAATGGCAAGCAAGAGCGAGAGCACCTATGAGCATGAGCGAAGCTGTGCAAGCGAGAGATGGAAAACGGGAGTACGTAATAGCGATACGGTCAATGATACCAGTAGGAATTCAGAGCATACGATGAAAGAGGCAAACTTACTAAGGAGCCATGTCAAAAGAATGAATGAAGATGAAACTATGGCAGAAGGAGAACCGACTAGTCAACTAGGAAATAAGAACAAGGATGTGCCCATAGAGGAGGCAAGCAAAGCATATGATCTTGGACGGAACAGGATGGAAGGGGCAATGGGTCAAAAGACACAGATTTCTTACAAAGACAAACTGATGGGAAAAGAGGAACAAGCTTTCTCTACTGAATTGGACGAGTTGATGAAGGAATGGTTACAGGAAGAAGAGGATACGGCCCCAGAGTTAACAGAAGAAGAGAAAATGCTTATGGAGACACTGCCCAAGCTTGACATGCCAGATAAGAGGCTTAGGCAATTATGCTTACCATGGAAGGATGCTCTCATTATTACGGTACTAGGAAAAATAATGGGATTGGATAAAATGAGAGATAGAGTTAAATGGTTGTTGAAAGCTAAGAACTTTGAACTAATTGACCTCCCAAACAACTACTATGTTTTTAGATCAAATGATAGTGAGATGTGTAAGCGGTTATTAGTTGGGGGGCCCTAGGTAATCTAAGGACATTATCTTGCAGTGTAGAGATGGAGCCCCAATTTCAATCCTTACTGCAATAAAGTGAAAAAAGTGGCAATTTGGGTCAGAGTACTAATCCTGCCGATGTATTGCTATGCAGAGGAGTGCATGATGGAACTAGGGAATATGATTGGAAGAGTTTTGAAACTAGATATGAACACTTTGGCTAGACAAAACAAACAGGGAACAACAGTTGAAAGAGGAAAATATGCTCATATTAGTGTTGATGTGGACCTAAATAAACAACTAAAATCAAGATTTAGGATAAGGAAGAAGCTCTATATGGTGGAGTATGAAGGATTGAACACCATTTACTTTAGGTGTGGTCGACACTGGGCACAAACAGGAGGATTGCCCGTTCAGGGTAAGAATAGGGGAGGAGAGTAATCTAGACAATGAACAGTGAGGAACCCTGACGACAGGGAAACAAGTAGAATTCTCTTTGACAGCGACCGCAGGTATTGACCAAAGAGAGAAACAACCCTTCACGACTATCCCTGGAGTAAGCTCTGACGAGGTGTACAAAACTTGGATGAAGGCCAAGAATACTTTCAGACCCAAGACATAAAAAATAGGGGCAGAGAAGAAGAAGCAATAAAGAGGCACAGGGGAAGGGAAAAAACATGATGAAGGAACAAAAAGTAAGTCAGAGCACCATATTTGACATTTTGTAAGAAGAGGAAATTCAAATCACATCAAAGAGTCATACTTCTCCCCAACCATCTATAGCACCTGTAAAAGAATGGAGGAAGAAAGAGAACAAGCAGAACTTACAAGGAAAAAGGAAAGGAGACATTGGTTGAGACCTAAAAGGAAGAGACCCATATCCTTGAAAAAGGAGGGACAAGCATGACAAAGTAGGTAGAGGAGAGTAAAAATGATGGCTTGAAGAAAAGATGGAGAAAACGAACAAGGAAGATGAGGTTCGTACAAGTGGAAATACTGAAGTGGAATTTAAGGGC